CAGCGAGGAGGCGCTGGCCCGGCGGCGGGGGGCAGCCCCCCGGCACTGCCCCCTCTGCCCCCAAGGCCTGGGGTGCTGCCAGCCCCTGGACCCCTGCCTGCACCCATCAGCCCCGGCCCCACAGGATGCTTCGCCCCCCGGCACTGTGGGCTGGGGGTCACCTCCCATGGTGGGGACCCCCCTGGAGCTGTACGGGGCTCCTGGCATGGGGACAGGGGCCTGGGGGTCACCCCCCTGTGGCCCCACTGTGGGAACTCCCCCAGAGGTGCTTGGGGTTCCTGATATGGGGACGGGGGCCTGGGGGTCGCCCCCCTACATGCCTGCAGTGGGGACCCCCTCGGAGCTGCACAGGACCCCTGGCTCTGTCTCAGGGTCCTGGTCATCACCACCATACAGCCTCGGAGCAGTGACCCTGCTGGAGCCCCCCCGGCGACGTGCCATGGCCACAAGCACTGGGACGGCTTCCTCCTGCTGCTTGGAGCCTGCAGCCCCGCACCAGCCTCCCGGGGCAGGAATGACGGACACAGGGCCCCCTGGGACCCCGGCGCGAAGCTCCCAGCTGCCCGCGCATCGCCAGGTATGTATGGCCCCCTCCCCAGCCCAGCCCCTGCTCCCGCACGAAGGGGGCAGGGGGTGGATGGTCCTTGCTGGGTGCGGGCAGGGCTGCACCAGCAAAGCCACCTGCATGCCATGGCTGGGGTGTCCGCTTGGGCTGGGGGGCACAGTATGATTCATGCTGAGCCAGAGAGCCATCCCCGGGTGTGTGGGGCACAGCCGCCCCACGGCCGCTCACCTAACACAGCTCTTTCTGTACAGCTCGGCAGCCCACCGGCCCTGGACAGGCTTATCTCCCCGTCCCCCCGTGCAGCCCCCGTCCTGCCCAGCTGTGCCCCAGCATGGCACTGGGGGTGGCAGAGCTGATCCTGCACCCCCGGGCAGAGAGGCAGCACAGGGGACGGCAGCGTGGTCATGCCACAGAGCTGTGCGGGATGGACACCAGGGAAGAATTCCTCATTAAAGATGCCGCACACCACTGCACTCCGACTCGTTACTGTGGGACCCCGCTCGCTGCACCCTGGGCACCCCAGAGGCTGGCACCCCCACATCACAGCTCGGTGCCCCCTCCCAGCCCACCCCGCAGCTCAGAGATGTCCCCAGAGCTGGGGTGATGGAGGGACCCACCACCTGAGGGCCTCCCCAGCCCTGCTGACCACTGGAAGGGCAGCTCCCACCCACCCATCAGGTCCTGACCCATCCCTGTGCTCAACCTGTCCAGCTCCATCCCTTCAGGGACCTGGGTAGCCCACGGGGGACAGTCCCTGAGGGGCCGATGCCAGCACCCCCTCCTGCCAGGGCAGCTCAGGGAAGCCACGGCTGCCTCCTGCCCAGACCCCGCAGCGCCTCCCCCAAAGGGGTACCGTGCGGAGGCATACCGGCCCCAGAGGGAGCGGGCATGCCAGCCCCCTGTGCAGGGCGTGGGGCCGGGGCCCAGCAGGAGAGCTCGCACACAGCCGTCAGACGGAGGGGCCGGGGAGCTGGCGTCGGCAAAGCCCCCAGAGCCACTTAGCACCAGGCTCCTAACGGCCCGGGGGGGCTCTGCGTCCCCGGCTTCCGCCACGCCGGTCCCCGCCGGGCGGGGGGGGGCTCCGCCCCCCCGCCCCCCGCCCCTTGCCCACCGTGGGGTCCCAGGCACTTCCTGCCCAGGCCCCGGCGCAGCCCCCCAGGCCGGCCCCGCAGAGCCGGCACGCGCCCTGTGCCCCCCGCATCCAGGGCCACTGGTGAAAGCTGACCTGCAAACCTTTATTTACACCCCCCAGGCCTTGCACGTGCCTGCAGAGCCCAGCACTGCCCCAGGCAGCCGAGGGCAGCAGGGCCCCACCCACTAGCCCAAAGCGCCCCCCTTCCCCTGCCCATCATACAGGTGCCAGGCCCTGCCCGTGGGTGGCGGACCCTGCCCCTCAGGAGCAGTGAAGGACCCGGCCAGGCTGGCCCGGGAGGGGTATGGGGCCACCGGGAGGGAGCATTTGAGGGTGGGGGCCAGAGAGGATGGAGTGAGCAGAGCTGGGGAGTGGGTGAGGGTCTAGCCGAGCCACGGGGTGGTGGGGTCTGGGAGCTTCAGGCTCGGCCCCCGCAGCCCATCCTGTGCCAGCCAGCCCTGCAGCCGGGCTGGGAAGAGGGTGCACAGCGGCCGGGGCCATGCAGTTAGATGGAGGCGGTTTCGCCCTGGAACCAGGCCAGCACCGTCTCCTGGTTCTCCTTCACCCACTTGATGTTGGCGCGGGTTCTCTCCAGGGCCTGCTCCAGCGCCCGTGTCCCTGACCCGAAGCCGATGTCCTGGTTGTCCGCCTTGAACTGCTCCAGCTGCCGAGGAGAAGAGGTGCTGGAGCAGGCATGGGGCACCCCGGCAGCCCTCAGCAGTACCCCAGCAGCCCCCAGCAGCACCCCGACAGTACCCTGACAGCCCCCAGCAGCACCCCGGCAGCCCGGGATGGGGACAGAAGCTGCCCGGACACCTGGGCACACGAGGGGCAGGGGCAGGGGCAGGAACAGGAGCCCTGCATCCCAAGGGCTGCTGGCAAAGGGCGGGTTGCAAGGCACCTGCAGCTCAGAGCCATGGCCCTGCTCCTGCCAGGGCTGGGGTCCCTGATGCCCGGTCCCACGGACCCTGCCAGGGTCCAGCCTCACCTGCTGCAGCTCAAACTCCGTGGAAAACCGCTGGGTCACTGATAAAATCAGCCGGGAGAAGGAGAAGGAGCCACCCCCGTACCTGGGAGAGCAGAGGGATGGCTGAGCCAGGGGCCCTGGGCAGAGCAGCACCAGGGGACCGAGGCTGAGCCGACCCCACACAGCTGGGGGAAGGGATGGTGCCTCCCCCCCTGAGGGGCACAGGCAGATGGGGGATGCTGCCTGCCCCAACCGGCCCTCCACAGCCCCCCACAGCTCCCTGCATGGTGCTCACTGGCTGAAGAGCATCCTCCATTTGCCGCGGATGAAGTCCCAGGCCAGGGGCTGCCCCACCACGTTGCTGGCGATGCTGTTGATGGTGGCGGTGGCGTCCTGCTTCCGGATCTTGTTGGGATCGAGGGTGTACTGCAGGTACCTAGGGGGGAACACTGCTGGGTGAGGGGCTGGCAGGGGCAGAGCCGTGGCATCCGCCCGGGACCCCACACCCACCGACTGAGGATCCAGGGTTGGGGGCTGCAGGAGAGGGCTGTGCGGAGCTTGTCAGCCTCGGACACGACGGTGGCCTCTTTGAACCTCTCCCAGATGAAGTTCCAGGCCTCCTCCCCGCCCGTGGCCACTATGCTGCAGTAGATGGAGGAGCGCAGGTTCGGGGGGATCCTGCAGGAGAGAAGAGCCATCTCAGCCGGGAGCCCCTTGTCGTGCCCAGCCCAGCTGCCTACCGTGGCACTGGGGCACCCTGGGGACTCACGGGTTCTTGATGACATTTTGCTGCCACTTGCGGAAGTACTCAGTGGACAGGTTCTGGCACTCGGTGATGCCGTAGGAGCAGGCTGTGCTGATGGCATTGATCTCGTTGTACCTGGGCAGAGAGGGGCTGTGTGGGGCTGGGGACCAGCACACGGTAGCCACACACCAACCATCCGGTACCAGGCCGCAAGCGGGGCCATGCCCTCTCCCACACACTGGGGTGACCATCCTCATGCGGTCAGGGAGACCCCGGGGGTCCAGCCTGGCCCCGGGACTGCGGCACTCACTGGTCCATCAGGCCACTGGGGATGTTGATCCAGCCATTGGTGATGTTCTTGTAGTGGTTGAAGAGGGGCATCACCTGTTTCTGCATGTATTTCTGGGAGGCAGGAGGATGGTCAGCACCCAGTGGCACCAGCAGCAGCCCCCCGCCCAGCTCTGGGTGCAGACCCAGCCCCTCGCCCCCGTTCCCCCAGCATGGGGCTCTGCCAAGCGGCGGGACCCGCTGTGGGGCCAGGGCTAGGCGGTGGTGGCACTGCTCACCGTCATCACCCCGAAGACCTCACTGCGGTCAAACATCAGCTGGAAGTAATGGAGATTGTTGAGTGCCGCCTCCCAGGGCATGTACGCTGTCTCCCGGCTCAGAAACCGTGTGGTGTTCAAGGCCAAGGTCACACTGACGTACTTGGCCCTGTGAGGGGTGGGGGCAGCATCAGCTTCCCGGCCCCGCAGCCGCTGCCTACCCCCAGGGTGCCCAGCCCGCCCGTCCCCCTCGCCCTGGCAGGCACCCGGGGCAGCCAGCACAGCTCACCTGGCCAGGTTAAAGGCGTCATCAATGATCTGGGCACGGTTGATCACGGGGATGGCCTGGGAGAGGGCAGAGTCAGCGTCTCAGGGCAGCCCTGAGTGGGGTGCGTGGGGTGTGTGGGGTGCGTGGGGTGTGTGGGGTGCATGGGGTGTGCGGGTGCATGGGGTGGGGGCCCACCCACAGCCCACCCACAGCCCACACCCCAGCTGGCCCCGTGTACCTGGTGGTTGGTGGAGAGCTGTCTGAGGAGCTGGTCCCAGTTCTCTGGGTTGTAGTTGACACGGAAGTACCCGCTGACATTCAGGTTCAGCAGGAGCCAGCTGGCGCTGCTGACCTTGAACTGGTTGTTGATTGCTGGGAGGGGGAGAGGAGGGTCTGCTGGAGCCACCCCCCTGCCCGCGAGGGGTGCCAGGCTCAGCCCCCCCCACCGGTGCCCCCCCAGGGGACCCCGACCCCCGCTGGGGCAGGGGAGGTGGCATCGAGACTCCCGCTCCCAGCCCGGGCAGGGCACACCGTACCTGAGCGTTTGGTCAGCCAGTACCTGCCCCCAGTGGTCTCATGCTTCTTCCAGGTGATGGGGACGATCCAGGTATAGCTGTGACAGGGACAGGCAGGCAGTGGGACCGACCCTTGCCCCCCTGGCCCCTGCGCTGCTGATGGCCCCCCGCCCCACTCACTTGAAGGCAGAGGGTCTCTTCACCACGGAGGTGGGGTCCAGCAGGAAGTGGTTCTGTCTGACGGTGCCGGTGAGGGTGTTGACGGTCACCACGGGGAAGCCCATCTGCAGCGTCCAGCGGTCCATGATCTTGCTGATGGAGTTGGGCAGTGAGACATTGTTCTCCATGACAGCCTGCAGGGAGGGCAGCACCACAGGTCACCGGTGCCAGGGGGTCCGTGTGGGGTGCAGGGCTCAGCTGGTGCTGCACCTCTCACCCAGTGCGCAGCAGCTGTGTGGCCAGGACCCCGTCCCGCCGGCAGCCCCCCAGAGCCAGGGCAGCGGCGGGGAAGGGGCTCGGTTGGGGGGAGCAGCCGGGAGCAGCCAGCCCCCTCCTACCTTTTGCAAATGAGACCAGAGGTCCGTGTAGGTGGTGCTTCCATAGGCGAAGGTGTGGAGGTAGGACTGTGGGAGAGCACCAGGAGAGACAGGTGGGCAGGGGCAGGTCCAGAGCACAGGACACCCGCAGAGCACCCGGGGAGGCCCCTGCCGCGGGCCACCCACCCCGCACCAGGGCTCGGTGCCCCCCGACACCAGCAGAGCCTCACCTGCAGCCCCTTCTTGAACACGTCCTCAGTGAGGAAGTCGGAGAGCATCCGCAGCACCGACGCTCCCTGCAGAGACAGCAGGTGAGAGACCCTGGGTGCACGGGGCACCCCGCAGCCCACCCCACCGCCCCAGGACCCCTGCACCCAGTTCCCGTGAGCCTGGCGCTCGCGCGCCCACCTTGCTGTAGGAGATGCTGTCAAAGACCTCGCTGATCTGGGCCGGGGTGTTGATCTCATCTTCGCGGAAGGAAAGCGGGTGGGAGGTGGTCAGGGCATCCGTCGCCATCACCTTGTACACTTCGTTCAGCACCATCAGGTCTTTCTGCAGGGGTGAGTGCCAGCACCCGCCTCAGCTCTGCTCGCACCCTCCTGGCAGCGGGGGCAGCCCCCGGGGGTGCCTGCACTCCCTGCCCGCACCCCCCTCCCGCACCCCTTGCCTGCACCCCCTGCCCACTGGCCCCATCACTCACAATGTTCCAGGAGGGCTCTGCTGAGTCGGCACCCAGGTACTCCACGTAGGAGGCGAAGCCCTCGTTTAGCCACAGGTCGTTCCACCACCGCAGTGTCACCAGGTTCCCAAACCACTGCGGGGGGGGCACAGCGCCCTGTCAGCTGGGTCCAGCCAGCCGGCGGGGCGGGCAAGGGGCCCGGCAGGTACCTGATGGGCCAACTCGTGGGCGATGACAGTCACCACCCGCTCCTTATTGCCGATGGAGGAGTAGACATTGTCAAAGAGCAATGAGTTCTCCCGGTAGGTCACCAGCCCCCAGTTCTCCATTGCGCCCGCGTTGAAGTCGGGGAGGCCGACCTGGTCTGGGGGACAGAGGGGTCCCATTGGCACACTGCTGCCAGGGTGCCGGACTGCCCACCCCCCCTGCAGCTGGCGGCTCCTCCCAAGGACGCGGCCGCCCTGCGGCACCCACCAGACTTGGGCAGCGGGTACGCCGTGTTGTAGTGCCTCTCAAAGAAGTTGAGGATGGGGCCAGTCACCTTGAGCGCATAGTTGCCCTGGCCCTCGGCAATGGCCTTGGGGCGGCCCCAGATGCGGATCTGGAGGGGAGAGACGCGGGACTCAGCCGCTGCCTGGGCTCAGACCCCCGGGCGGGCGGGGGTTGCCCCCCACCCCCAGCCTACCAGCACGTTCCCCGAGGTGTTATGCACGTAGCTGAACTGGCTGACGATGAAGGCCAGCAGGTAGGTGGACATTTTGGGGGTGGTCTGGAACTCGGTGACGTTCCAGCTCTTCCCGTCGATCTGCTGCTGCCAGGTGCCTGCAGGGAGCAGAGGGAGGGAGGTTACCCCGCAGCCCTGCCGGGCCCCCAGCCCCCCCCGACCGCGGCTCCCCCC